TAATGTCTGACTTAATGCATGTTAATTGTACAATAAATAGAAAATTTGCGAGACACTTTTATCAATTTCCTATTTACTGTCGTGGCGCGTCCGTTGTACCTTTCGGGCTTGGGTCACGTCTGCTCCCTGCATGATGGGTGTTAGTAATTGGGAGAAGGAAGAAACAAACGCCCATCTACAACGATTTTGCCGAATCGGTGCGTTTAGCTAGGCAGTTATTTTAATTCCCCTTGGCCAGAGCTGCAATATCGGGTGCCGACGTTGCACTCTTATTTGTTACGATTTTACCTTTCACGGTTCGCTCCCTTTTTTTCGCCTTGTCTTGTTCCTTCCCATTAGTTTGGTAACGTTAATGTGGTGGGGAATATGAATGTGTTCTCAGGTACTTTCGATGAGATATCTACGTTTTTTTAACGATTCTTCCACATTTCCCTTTTTACAAGCGTCTTCGCATGGATGCAGTACTTGTGTAACCGATTAACCATTTGGTATTTACGCGTTTTAGTGAAGGATCAATTGCTAAAGTACCAACATCCATTCAGTGGGCTTTTCCCGCGTCGGCCTGAAGCCCTTGCACATGATTGTGTAGCACACGTTCGCGACAATGTCTACTGTGCTACAGTTATCTGGGCCTTGCATCGAGCCTTTCAGTACGTTTATTTTTTTATTTTTTTATGTTTATTGTTTTTATGTAGGCGTATTGGAGATGATTCGGGCCAGAGCTACGAACTCCGTCAGTCAGCCGTGAAATGTATGCGTGCCATTCTCCTTGGTTGGATGCGGCAAGCGGATAGGGTAGACCTGATTCACATTTGCATTGATGTACCTCTTTCTTACAGTTAGAAAAATTCAAAATTACCCAGAACCTGGAGACGTGCCTGCACAGTCGCCTTGATTATGAAACTGGGACACCTGTGGAAGGCACTGGATATAAACATCTTCAGATGGATTGTGTTGGTCTCTATGTGATCCAACTCATTCAAATGATTCTCTCTGGCCTTCAGGCATTCTCTCATTGCCTATTAATCCTCTCGATTAGATAATTCACACAAAAATTGAAGCAGCTTTTGTTCAAAACCTTATCTTCTATCTGGAAAGAGCCTATCGTATTCCCGACTATGGAATGTGGGAACGCGGTTCAAAGCAGAATAGAGACATTACAGAGCTGCACGCGAGGTAAGGGAGGGCTGTCTGCTTATCCTTGCTTTGAGCTAGTTCAATTGGGATGGCCAAGGCGGCACTTGAGTCTGTCTCGGGTTTTAACATCTTTGGAAGTGAAGGCGACCACACCACAGTCATGTTTGCTGATGCAGACGCTCACACGCGTAATAGCAGTATTCTGAGCACTCTTCTACCTCGCGAGTCTGCCTCGAAGGTAGGTACATCGTTTACTCGTTTTCTCAATTTCAATTTTCTATAACTAACTGGAAAGCTTGGGTGCCTTTCAATAATTCAGCCAAGCTTGATCCCTTGCTGGTCATCGGTGGTATTTTCCAATTATTTAGTGGAATAGGGTAAACCAAACCTTGCCTTTTGGTCTCAAAATTTGGGTTTTATAGCTCAGATATCCTACAAATTAATTTGGCGATGTGACCGTCGAGGCTGCACTTGATCAGTGCGCATACAACTTTGGAGATGCGAGTCGTTATTTGATGAAGCGTTGTGAAGAGTTAAGTATTATCGTTCCCACTTTTGTAGTGGACTACTGAATCCACACCCTCCTGTACACATTAGACATACTTTTTTAATTAGAACTGAAAGACGATGTGTTACCTTTGGTGTGTATTTCTTCATCTAAATCTCTTGGGAAACACG